TTTAATGTATTTTACAGTACTTTAGAAATACTCAGAAAAGTCTGTCAATGTTTTCAAACCATTATATTTGATTTACCAAAGTCACACAAGTGGCAATTTCACATCTGTCACATCCATAACGGAGAGATGTTACATCCATAACTAAACTTTTTCCTCATAATTATTAAAATCTAAAAAATAAAACTAATCATTTTCTTCAAGAGAGGCGACTCTTATCCTTTTAATTAGCTTTATTTCTTTTGGGTTGTGCAGTTTAATTCACTGAATTTCTACAAAGTATGTTTTATAATTGTAAACTTGCTGACTTTTTGGTCACATCAAGAACGCATGTTTATTTTCCTCATTTAAAGTACAAAACATGTTTACAGATTGATATTTTTCTTCTTTCATAACCCTGCGGTTAGTTGTTCTGGAAAATATAAACAGATGTTTCAATGTAAAGTTAACATACTTTCTCTGTATATTTATTTTTACTGCAAATGTCACATCCATAACGCTGGAATTGCTCATATATGGACTTCACAAAAAAAAAAAAAAAAGTGTAGTTTTTGCTTAATTATGCAACATGTCACTCCAATATGTCAATTCTCTTGACGAATAGTCTTTTTCATAAGGAAAATGAGAAACTCAAAACTGTATTCAATTTAAGCATCGAATGCAAGAATAAAGGCAGGTAAAGATCATTTTGAAGCACTAACCTGCTTTTCATGTCTAAAAAGTCTGGTTGGACAAGCTGCAGCAAAGATTTTTTTTGAATATGGCTGAATGAAGGAATGCACCATGACAACATCTGTTTCCTTCATTTGGAAAACACAGGTATTTAGCTTTTATTTGCTTTAAAAGACAATATTTTTTCAAGTAGGGGGCTTTCAGCTATTCACCCATTTATTCTAATTTTCTTTTCAGTTCTTCAATATTAATATCTGTTCTTTAATGTTGTTTTCTGTCTCACCAAAGAACAGCACCACAGTGCTCAAAAGAGAACAAATGAAACTACTTGCTTATCTTTTGTATGGTATGCATCATTTTTTAACAAAACTAGTTTAGTTCACAAAAGCATCCTGAAGGCATTCCATATTCAGAAAAAATAAAAAATAATAATAATAATATTAAAAATAAAAAAAAACTGTCCACGTCTCTTTTTCGTTTAAGTGCAGGTGTAAAATCAAACAGCTATATGAATGCAGAAGTGAAACAACCCCAATAGGATAAATTAAACATTTCTGAAAAACCTCACTTGAAAAACCTCTAAAAATCAAGCTTAGTGTGTGGTCATAAGAAAATCATGAACATATGGTGAGGCAAAAATATATTTAAAAAAAAAAAGCTAAACTAGGTAGCTACATTATATCACGGTTTTGCAGCAAATAAAACTTTTATATTGCTTCTACAATTAAAATGATTTATGGACCAACTAGTTATTTTCATTTGTATATCATTCGTGCACAATTGCATGAGGTAACATTAATCATGGCATTTCTAGATCAAATTCCCAAAGTCCTAGGTACAACGTAAGTTACAAAAACTTAAATCTTAAAAAAAAATCCGAGCTTACACACGTTAACAAGTGATTTTAGTAAAGAGAGCTTCTGCTCCACAGTTTTCCCTTCACTGTATGACTGGTAGTATGTATACTAGGAACAGGCTTGGGTGGTTTTCACTCTCTAGTTTCGATGACTCACGGAACACTAGCTGTCATACAGGCGAGGCTTTCATTAAAACTTCCAACATCGGATCAATAACGTAGATTTAAAGCTGATGGACTAAGATACTTTGAGTTACAGCTGTAACTTTACCTTAGCAAACGTCCCAGTGAATTTTGTTTGTTTAGGCAGTCACTCATTTTAACCACAAGACCACGCAGGTAGTACCCTCACAGTCAATACAATAATATGGTATTACCTGGCTAAAATGCAATATAAATGTAAAAAATCTATAGAAATAGTAAACAATCCAATAAGTAAGTTTTACATTTCGACGTTTACAAAGTTTTTCCTCACGTTAGCATGCTACAAGCTAACAGGGCTCTTGGACAGTCACATACCGCACTATTAGTTCCTCGTCTTCTTCCTACAGCTTTTAAAGTCAACTGACAGAAACAATTCTCTAGCAGTACTGAAATAATATAAAGAAACCACGATGAACAAGTGGTAGTTTAACAACTACAACACAAACTTGCCCTGACAGACGGCGTTGTGGAAACTAGACTATTCTCGAGCGCTTGGTTAAGTTTAGTCGGGCACGCGCGCACTTACCTCAACACAACCGATCAACGGCTGGAGACGGGAAGCCGCAATCTCTCTGAAGTTTTCCAACGGTCAAAATATTTAAATTCCAGATTCAAAAAAGCTTGAGTTGGAAGCTGATCTGCCACTTTCCCGGGCAGCCAAAGTCGAAAACTGCAGTTTCAATATGGCTGAGGGCAGGAGCAGGGAATGTAAGCGTCACTAGCGTGACTCCGGGTCGGGGTGGTGTGGGAGAAGGGGCAGGGACTAATCTGGATAAACACTAATCCTTGTATATTTAGCGTAGTCTACTGCTCCCGTTATGCCTTTCACTTTTCTTTCTTGCTGTAAACATGAACTTGCGTGTTTATTTGTAATAAACCGCAGGTTTACAACTGCCTGCATAGTGTGTGTGAGATCAACAGTGGGTTTAATAACCAATCTGAGTGGTAAAAGTAGTTCCAAGTTCCCAACTGATAACTGAATGGCTATAAAGGCACAATATTTAGTTTTAGTGGTTTATGAGGGCATGACTATTTTAAGGCATGCAGCCAAAACACATGAACTAGTGTTGAACTCAGACAGTTGATGTCTATGAGTAAGCCCTGTTTGACTAGGGTACACACATTGAAGTGACACAATATTTTTTTCCCTAATTTTTATCAAAATGCATGTTTTGGAGTGTTTTGCAAATTTGTATTTTTATTTGGTCGTTTATATAATGGACACCTATAAATACTGCATCATTCTTGTTTTAAAAGGGCAACCTGGTAAAATGGGTGGTTCTTTTTCTATACTGTAAACCCCAACAGTCAACTTTATCATATGAAATGAGTGTAGTAAACTCAAATTTTACTGAAAGTTAATTCTAGTCATTTGAAAAGAGTTTTGAACTCAGTGTTGAAAGTAATGAGTTTATTAAATACCTCATTCAACTTAATGGAGTAAGTTCGCAGTACTCATATAGATTAGTTTAACTCAAATGGTTTGTAGCAATGGGTTTCCTCAAATAGTTTGAGTTGCCTTTACTTATTGGGTTTTACAATACTCAGTTGGTTTAAGTTTTCTTCATTTATTGGGTTTTACTGTGCTCAAACTGCTTCGTTTACTGAAATTGATTAAGTTCACAGTACTCATTGGGAATAGTTTTTTAACTTAAATGCTTTGTTGCAATTGGTTTCCTGAAATGGTTTGCCTATTTGCCTAATTTTCTATTTAATTATAAGGACATTTAAAGCACTTTTTGTTTAAATAGCTTGTCGGATTGTCATCAGAACCAAACTTTTTAATGTATCAAAGCTTCTTCTTAAATATTTTGAAAAAACATACTATAGATATTAATTTATTACATGATTTATCATTAAGAAAAAATAGGATTCATTTTTTATTATTAAAAACTGTAACTTTAAGCAAATAACAATCTTCAAATTTGGCCATTTGAATAAAAAAAAACAAGTAAATAAACAAGAATAATGTAAAGCTTAATTTTTCTCCTGTAAAAAAGTTAAATTGAAAATTCATGGCCTGATTAGTATTGAAGTGAACTTTAATATAGGCCGCCTTTGGTGCTTCACACCTTTTTATTGGTCATTTTTTCTTTCATGAATAAGGTCTGAGATCTAGAATAAAAGTTACTTGTCAAATGTTTTCTCTATTTAAAAACAATACAGTAGGTCAGCAGTGAAAGATGACTTCAGTGTTTTATACAGTCTCAAAGGTTTATGGCTTCTGGTCAAATAAATCCCCATGCAAGCATCAATGAAAACTCTCTGCCTCCTTCTTTGATGCCATGGGGCAGCTACACTTAGATTGTATGTTTTCTTGCACAGATGTTGGATAAAAAAATAGTTTTCATAGGCCAAAACTGATTAGCTTAAGTCATGACAGCCAACAGAGGATTCCACTTGGTCTTAAAGCATTTTTAGATAGGTTACTTTCACAATTTTTGATGAAATAGCAGTCAAAAATAGGACAAATGAGCTAATGTATGGAACAAATTCTGGACCTTTGACAGTAGGGGTGGGTTTTTGAACCACCTAAACTACCCTTAACTACCAGCCTGAACTAACCTCTTATCTAGCTGTTAAAGCATTTTGTTGATCTTTTTTATCAGAATTGCACCAACTACTAATAAATGCCTCATTCTAGTAAATACTAAATATGCCAGACGGCATTTCTCTGTTTTTATAGTAGGCTACCAAAGAATCTCATGAATGTTTTCCTGCTTTGGGTGCGGGAAGTGGCCATTGGTGATTCAGCATAGCTATATTGATGTCATTAACTGTATTTCTTGTTTCTGCAGAGAAAAGCTTTGTCATCTAAACGCGATACTCATCTACCACATTGAATTTTTGCTGATTACAACATTAACAGCTGCTTGGACGTCATGAACAAGACTGCGCTCAATGCAAAGCTTTTTTTACTATTTTAAAGATTTAGATTTTTCATTTTCCTCATTGTTAATTAGGTTGCATGTTATTTCTTTCTTTATAATATTTTTATAATATTTTATTTCTATTATATTTGTATTTTGACCTGAAAAGCAACAGAGAGCAATAAAATAAGCAACGGCAACTATAAAGACAGAGAAGAAAAGGCAAATAAATGAAAAAAAAAGCACAAAAGACCGAAAAAAAAAAGCTTTAAAGCAATTGTTACATCAGTTCCTCCAGATTTATACATACCCTCGAAAAAAAAAATGGTTTGCAGATGATTCCTTGGATTTACTTAATTAAGTTAAGTGGTTGTAAACAATTTATTAGGGTTACATTTAAACAAACAAATTAAGTTAAACATTATTAAACTTAATTTGTTTGATTAGATTCAACCCATGTAAATTATGTGCAAAAATTTTGCAGACATCATTTTTTTCTTAACAATGTTACACATATATTTCTAGGCCAGTGGGCACAGGAAATATGGTGATCTTGCAAACAATGACAGGGGCATACCTTTAAACTGTCATTTCTAACATTTGACAGATAATTTAAAAAGTGGCTTCGAAGACAGCCATGCTCCCAGAAAGATTATTCTACTAAACATTACTCTACCCATTAGTTCTTTGACATTGAATTAATTAATTTGCATAAAACAATAGGTTATTTTAAATGGGTTACGTTTATTATCTCGTAAAAATAAAATAAAAACAGGAATCTGACAAGAATTATGAAAAAATACTTTACATTTTCCACATAAAGTGTAACTCTCTGCTGCCCCCAGGTGCCTGTCTGTGTGCACACAAAGGTAAACAGCTTGATTTATTAGGATGTAGAAAATAGTACAAGTAAATGTTATTTATTTCTTCTATGGTGCATTTTAGTTTTTATTTTGATCATTGGTCATGTAATTATAATTAAATGATGTAATTTTGCACACTACATTATGCTTATATTTCCTTTTTTGCAACGCAATGACTGAATGCTCTAATGAACAAGCCACTGTTTGATTGCTCTTGATTGATCATATTATAGCTTCCCTGATACTTATGCATGCTCTGTAATCGTGGGAAGAGTAAACAATAGCCATCGGGGAATCCAGTGACAGCAGCAGAACACGTCAGAGTAGCATCAGCGCTCGCGCTCAACGCTGTTCGTGGACAAGCTCACAGTGTAAAGAGCAGTCAGAGAAAGTGGATTGCAGAGGACATTTCTCAAAATGAATAACTACTGCAATTTTTTTTTTCAGAGAATTTGCTTATGAATTGTAGTGGGAAAATTAAAGTGAAGTCTTAAAAATGCCGAGCTTGTGCATTATATTTTCGAAGACGCGAGAAGTTGGAGACGTGGATTTTCATTTTAAGGTGGGTTCATCAGTTACTGTATCTAAAATTGGTGTCAAAAATGGTTGTGCTTTTACCTCTTGTGGTGTTTTATGTCATTTACCAGTCTAATTTTGCTAAAATCAATTTTAAAATGTGGTTTTAAAGTAAATTTCTTGCACCTATCAGCTAAAAAAGGATTATAATAAATTATCATGTATATAATTTGACAAATTAAATTTTACAACTGGAGTTTCTTTACCCACAAAAAGTTTACGTCTTGTGATTATTTTATTTAATAATGGATTTACAGCATTTTAATAACACTAGTTGCAATCAGGTTGATGCACAGCATCCATTATTGTTTCAATAAAAATGTACACTAAAATGAAGTAATAATAGTTTGTAAATACTATTCTTTAGCTCACAAAGTGCATTATTATCCAAACAAAACAGATAATGTTAAAAATAAAATAAGCTAATGGATTTTGTTCCTAAAATGCTCAATGATGCCAATTTACCAATGACAGTATTTTCATGGAAAATGTTTTGTGTACAAATATGGAGGCACCATTTGTGTGTAATATTTTCTTGAAAACAAGTGTGGCCATTATGCATAATGTTGTATTCATCATTATTGTATCATGGTCTTGGCAGGAATACATTTCTCAATTTGGACAGCCCACCATGCGCAGGTTGCCGTGCCTTGCCTCCCAGCCAAGAGGAGAAATACCACTGTGCTACTGACGGGGTTTTTACGCGCAGCTGAACAAAGATGCCAGAGGAGCTCACTAACTGCAGTCTGTGTTGCTGTACCACGACCAACAAAATATTCATGGTGGTCTTCATGATATCACTCATACTTGCTATACTATTCGGAAACCTCCTGACACTGGCGGTGGTCTCTGGAACCAAACACTTCCACACTCCCCAGGGGTATTTAAAAGCATCACTGGCCGTGGCAGACCTGGCTGTGGGCGTTTTTGTGGTTCCCATTTCAGTCTACACAGAAATATCTCTAATGGTTTACAACTCGATGCCAGAGTGGACAACGCGCAATTCCCAAACCTCACCTTTCCACCCGTGCAGTTTCATCGGTCCTGTGTTTGCGGGATGCACTTTGGTTTCCATTACAACCATTTTCCTCCTGACTATTGAAAGGAGCATTGCTGTTTTGAAGCCACTGCACAAGGAATCTGTCATAACTAAAAAGAGAACAAGCATACTAATAGTGTTTTCCTGGATGGGCAGTTTTTTCCTGGCAATATCTCCAATGGTTTTCAGCAACGAAATCGCGCTGGAGTACAATCCTTGCAGCCGAATGTGCAATTACGCGCTGGGAAGCGCAGACTTCCCATCCAGAGCTTGGAAAATTCTTTTACTCTTCCCTGCCTTTGACTTTACGCTGCTCGGAGGTACAGTTGTCATCAATATCATATCCCTCACCACAATCCGCCAGCATTCAAAAAGAAGAAAACACCTGGCAGAGACCGAGAACCAAAGCGCAACGAAGCCAACCTTCTCCGACATCAAGGCTGCCAAGACGATAGGGACCCTCACTTTGGCGTTCACCGCTTCCTTTACTCCCATTGCCGTGTTTGTAGTTGGAAATGTGCTGGGAAACGAATGGTGCACTTTTTCGTTTTTTGCCTTTTGGATTTTGACGACGAACAGCTGCTGGAATGTGATAATCTATGGCGTGAGAGACCAGAAGTTTAGAAGTCGCGCGTGTCAGCTGCTTACCTCAGCTCGATTGAACACTGCATCTAAGAAAACCGAGTACGAAAACACTGTAAATGGCGGGAAAACCGACGAGGAAGCAGCCAAGCAACCCTAATCACTGATATGGCTGATTAATAGCCTAATTTAAGTGGTGCTTTTATTAAAGGCACTTAAAATGTTCTATATGCCAGCTTATCTTCATTGAAATTATTGATGTTTGGTTTATTGCTGGTCCATGTTTAACAACAGACTATGTTAGATAAGCTAGAAAACATGCTTAACAAAGCTGCCAAGTCCCTGGTGAACTTGAGGTAAACATAAAGGGATAGATCACAGAAAAATGAAAATTAGCTTTACTCTAGTTGCATTCATGAAATGGTTTTATACTTTGTAAGAAGAACATTTTAGTTGAAAGCATGTGTGATTCATGTAGCGCTAGGGGAAATCTACTAGCATTTTACGAGTAACAATAAAAAACTTACAGGCAAAACAAAATTAATACACATCAGTGATACTTGAAGGTCTTAAAGCTAAATAATGATCTGTGCAAGAAGCTGCTTCCTGATACATAATGACACGCATGAGCTACTGCTGTTGACAATGGAATGGATGTGTGTTATTGTTCAGCAGAGTGGTACTTGCTCTTATCCAGGATGCTGCTTCCTTCATAAAGAGCAGTAAAACAACAACCTTCAGTTTGTGTCTGCAAATGTCATGACAGCAAGTCGGCACTCCAGACTCCAGATTTCACTTCATATACAACCTTACTGTATATATTGTTAGGAGCCGTAGGAATTTTTTGTTTTTTTATGTATCCCTCCTGTTGAGTTATGGGTCAAAAATGACTCGTGCACCATTTTAACAGCAGAAAAAAACATAAAAAATGTTTTTCTTTTTCATTTGGTGACTTTTTTTAAAAGATGACATTAGAAAAAATATAATTTTCTATTTTCAGAAAAGCTATACATATTTAAGGTATACAAAGTTGTCCTTATTGTATCAAGTTTGACCCCATAAAACCATTTTAACACCAGAAAAGGTGACGCGATGGCGCTGTAGGAAGTGCTGTCGCCTCACAGCTAGAAGGTTGCTGGTTCAAGCCTCGGCTGGGTAAGTTGGCATTTCTGTGTGGAGTTTGCATGTTCTCCTCGTGTTCGCGTGAGTTTCCTGTGGGTGCTCCGGTTTCCCCCATAAGTCCAAAGACATGCGCTATAGGTGGATTCGGTAGGCTAAATTGTCCATAGTGTATGTGTGTAAATGAGTGTGTATGGTTGTTTTCCATGGATGGGTTGCAGGACATCCACTGCGTAAAACATATGCTGGATAAATTGGCGGTTCATTTCGATGTGGCGACCCCAGATTAATAAAGGGACTAAGCCGAAAAGAAAATGAATGAACACCAGAAAAACTGCTCACACACATGCACACTGCAACACACTGACCCGAAAACACACAATTAAGAATCTGCCACTTGAATTTTTACGAATACCGTCTTGCTAAAAATGTTTTACACTTATGCAGGTACTTTTAACGTTAAAAATATACCCTTCACTTCACCTCTGAATAAATGTTGTTGAAATACTTCACCCTGATGAGGGAAAACTTAAACATTTACAGAGTTTGTGATGAAGATGACGTTGCCTCTTCATGCAAAATAGATTTGAGGATTGAAACTAGATTTTGCTGCTTTAATTTAAAGGTTAAGTGAAGGCAGGTCATTTCTGACCCGAAGGGCAAAGAGTGTTTACAAAATTTTAAGACAACAGGAGGGATACGTTTATTTGACTTTTAAAGTGGTAGTAACAGTCAGCTTCTATTTCATGAATCACTGAAGACCATGCTTTCAGCCTAAAACATTCTTCCATGTTCAAGTCAGGGTGTTTGAATAGCACATTTTCCTTTTTGGATGAACTATTCCTTAAGAAATTGAAGAGTTCAGATGCAAAATATCTAAACACAGTCTGAAATGTTGTTCTAAAACAAGCATTTTTCTTAATCTCCTATATGTTTGTTCCGTTATTTCACTTTAAAGGCAATGAAAAAGACAGATTCATCACCTTACTGTATAAGTAAAAAAACTGAACCTACACACAAGAGCCTGAGAAAAATATTTATTTAAGAACAACAATTTTAGAGGGCATTTTTATATTTTGCATCTAAACTTTTCAATTATTCCTTAAAGATGTACTGGAGATATCCACTGCAAAAATTGTTTTCTTACTTAGATGTTTTGTTTTGTATAGTCCAAATATCTAAAAATTCTCAAACGAAGAAGAATTTTTTACGCAAGCAAATTATATTATCTTGTTTTCTGAAATAATATGCCAAAATTAAGTGAGTTTTTCCTTAAAACAAGCAAAATAATCTTGTTTTTCCTTTTGACATAAGATTATTGTGCTTACCACATTGGCAGATTATTTTGCTTGTTTTAAGGAAAACCACACTTAATTTTGGCATAATATTTAATAAATCAAGACACTATGTTTTGCTTGTATAGAAAATTCTTTTTGATTTAAGAATTTTTTATATTTGGACTAGAAACAAAAAAAAAAAAATCTAATTAAGAAAATCATTGTTTTGCAGTGTGGGTCATAATCCAACCTAAACTGTAACCCTGGACCACAAGATCAGTTATAAGTTGCTATATTTGTAGGAATAGCCAGAAACACATTTCAAAAGGACCAATTTATGCCAAAAATTAAGAATATTAGGTAAAACATATTCAGTGAAGACTTTATAAAAAATAATTTCTGATTAGTAATATGCATTGCTACTTAATTTGGACAAATTTAATATCAATTTTCTGAATATAAAGAGTTGCAAAAACCTCAAAGTATCATCTGAAGATATCTTCTAAAATGAGCATTTTTCTCAGGTTCCTGTGTGTAGGTTTAGTAATTTTACTTTTATGACATAGATCCTGTCTTGGAAAATGTCAAATATTTGTGTTTTGCGTTCCGGTTGTTATTTTAACTGATCCAGCAATACCTTTTACATGGTGAATACCTGCATGTGTGTGTGTGAGAGAGAGAGAGAGACAGTGAGAAACCGTATGAGTCTAAAGGAAAAACAGTGAGCAAAGCAGTGTGGATAGTGTGAGCGTGCACACACATAAATATAGTCACCTTCGACCAATCATCTTTCTCACATTAACAATCACTCTCATTGGTTGGTGATTATTGTTTCGTCCATAGTGAGCAGTGAAAATAAATAATAGCATGGTGGCCTACCTAAATAATATTTAAATTTTCAAAATACCAGAGAAAGTCAAGCAAATATATATTTTTTAAAACAATGAGTAAATCTTATAATGAGCCTGATCAAGAGAAAATAAAACTGTGCCTGCATCAGGATAGTGGGAGGCAGAAGCAAAGCGATTTCAAGTCAGCCAGAAAACATGACGAAAGAGCTAACTGTGGGCTTTTCTTAAAGATTAGACTGAACGAGTCATTTTCGCTTGGCACATAATAGTGAAGTGAGCTGCATGTCAGTAGTGTTAGTAAACTGGAAATTGATGTTTCATACAATTTATGTTTGTAGCTACATGTTTGTTTGGTACCCATAGTTGACCTTTAGGGCCCTATCATACACCCGACGCAAGGCGCGAAGCAATTGTTGTTTGATAGTTTCAGCTCGGCGCAAGAGTCATTTTGACGTGTTGCAGCACGCTGTTTAAATAGCAAATGCATTTGCGCTCATATGTGCGCCCATAGGCTTTCTGGTCTAACAAAGGAGGTGTGTTAAGGCGCATTGCTGGCGCGTTGCTATTTTGAAGAACTATAACAGACTTCAGAATAGATCAGATCAAAGCAGATCTATAGTACAACGCAGAGCGCATTAGTTGGGTGCCTCACTTAAACATTGCTTAATACACACAGGATGTACACAAATATCTTTACAAAGGAAAAATAATTAAAGGATTAAAATATTACAAAAAGTATTATTTTCCACCCCAGTTTTTCCACTTACAAAGTCCATCATGTAAATAGCATATGCGCCATGGCGAGACGCAACTGACTCTTAAAGGGAATGGGAGATGAGACTCTGATTGGTTTTGTTCTTAAAACACACCTGTAACTCATTAAGGCAATAAACTTAACCCTGTTAGACCATGCGCCAAGGCGCAAAGTGGATTTTTCCATCCTTAAAATAGCAAAACTTGATTCTGACATGCCCTTAATGCGTTTGCACCCTGCGGTTTGGACTTTGCGCCTGAATCGTCAAAATAGAGCCCTTAATGTTACATTGCACAAAACAACTAAAGACCGTTCAGAAATGTAATTTTCTTTTTGTATTATCCACTTAATAACGTCGTGTTCCAGGAAAACTAAAATTGTGTGGCGGACGTTGGTCAAGGTAATGTTTATTTCCAGGGTTTGTTCCAGAAATTATCCATTTACAAATTAAGCACTGCATAGAATAGGTTGTATTTATTACCTTTAATGGGAAATAACTGAACATAAACATATAGGCAGCTGAGAAAAAGCCTCATTTTAGAAGAAAATTTCTGATGTCACTTACAGGTTTATGCATCTGAACTCTTCATATTTAGTTTCTTTGAACGTTCACAATTTCAGATTTTCAAGTAGATGTCCTATCCTAAAAAACCATCAATGGAAAGCTTATTAACGTTTTACTCATTAAGATTTTCATGAATCTGAATATAAAAAAAAACAATGATCCCTATGATTGGTTTTATGGTCCTGGTTTATAAATGTTCTGATCAGCTTAGATCTTCAACCATTAAGCTAAAAAAGATGATTGCCTACTTCTGCCAGAGCGATTCGATGCCTTCATAACTGTCTGTTGAGTGGCATTTGATGCTATCCTCAGGTCACCTTCTTTATTACAAACACTGCATGACAGATTTCATCATGTCACACTTAATGAATATAAGCAAGGATAATGACAATCCTAAAAATATGAGTGTTAAGCTTATTATACTTGTAACATGTTTCTTTAGGCTACTGATTAACTCATCTTTTTTCGTTGTGAAGAAACAAGAGAAACTGTGTGGCTTAAATGAAATGTGTGTGTATATTACACTCAACAAGAAGTGATACTTATGTGAAGGATCAATGTAGGAACAGATAAAGCAGACATTTTTGTAAGGTTGGCTGTTCATTGCTTGTGTATTCATACAAATAGGTTAGTGCCAGAAGGGTGTGTTATATAAGACATGTACACATAAGTGTATTTATATCATATGCATAATTAGTTAAACAAGGGCCAACATATTATACCAAAAACACCTTGATGTTCAGTGACTATTGATTTATTGTTGTTTAGATCATTATTCTTTTGCACTTTTGTAATACAGTCAAGCTTTCTCATCTGTTTTATTTAAATAAATCCACGGCTTTGGTGATTTTTAAACGACTTCTTTGGTGATGACACTTTCCAATATTACTTTTCATGTGTGATGGAGTCATTTGTAAATGTACTAAATAATCTTCTAAAAGTTTCATAGTGCTCAATAAGCCTGTTATTCTCCAACGAAAGAAAGAAGTTTGTGCAAAAACGAGTTGTGCGGACAATATCTACCTTGATCCTCAAAGGTTAATTGTAGCTGAGGACTGGAACAATATGGTTCATGTTGACATTTGGAGGAGACTCTGTTTTCTGTGCTGCAAAAAGTAAATCAACTTTATATGCACTTTCAAAGGAGCCAGGCTTGATTTGATATAGCAAAACCATTACATTATACATGGACTTACTGGACATAATAATCAATGTAAACCCCAAACAGACTGAATTTAAAAAGTATTGATATATTTACAAATCTGTCTGCGACCAAGGATCGTTAAACCATTCATAATCGCAATTGTTTGAAGATTTATACATCAACTCAAACCTGAATAGATAAGTATTCCAAGGATGTATACTTTAATGAAAGGACAATACTTGGCTGAGATACAACTAAATATCTGAAATAAAAATCTAAATATAGAGAAAAATCACCTTTAAAGTTGTCTATAGGAAATGCTTAGCAATGCACATTACTTATATTTTTTTATATTTTTACAGTAGAAAATTAAAACAATTCACAGAACATGATCTTTACCTAATGATCTTTGACATTAAAGAACAATTGGTAATTTATGGACTCTAAAACTTTACATTAAATAGAGGAATAACAAAAGATGAAAAATTATGTATCTATTAAATGTTACTGTAATGTGCAATTTAACATTATGCCAATATTAAATGATATGACAACATCTTACCTTTCAGTGTTTCCTGTTGAACTCTGATGTGCATCTTCTATCTTCATCGTTGATATATTGATGACCTTCTTTGGTTTGGAAGTTTGAGTACAGCATCATCTGTAATATGGAGGACCAAGAGTGCCAGTTAGAAATAAAATGATTATAAAATTTAATAATTGAAGCAATAAAATGTGTATAAATAAATCATAATTTAAATGGACAATTAATGGACAAATAAATAGACATATTTAAATATGTATATGTATATATATATATATATATATATATATATATATATATATATATATATATATATATATATATATATATATATAACCAATAAAAGAAGAAAACAATGCATTAAAAATCTGTATAAAATATGTATTTTAAATGTATAAATAAATAGACAATTTTATAAATGTTTATTTAAATAATGTTTAAGAACGCTGAAAAATCAAACAATAAAAATGTATATTTGTAGATCTTCTGAAATGCATTTAAGTAGCTTTTTAAAAGGTCTTTCTTTCTCCATTTGCCACTTGCTTATACAATATTATATTTGTGCATATACATTAGATTAGTTAGTACTGAAGCCAAATCTCGAGCTTGTCTAATAATAACTTACGATAACTGTCCAAAAACCAGTACACCCAAATTTATGTTATAGAAAAATATTAAATACAACACAAAAAGAAGGGAAAAATCTAAAGAAACAAAAAAATTCAAGATTTAGTTGACATTTTGTAGGTTGTAATTTATTATTACTATCATTTTTTGCGATATTTAGCTGGAATTTAATTGTATTATCTTTCACTTTCTAAATATGTGTGGTGACCAAAATATTATTTTAATAAATATATCTGTTTAATAAATCTGTTTTGTTAAAATGCACTAAAATACATTGCCTACATTCACTGAGGAATGCACAAAAATAATCATTTTCAAAATAGGGTGTACTCAATTATGCTGAGCACTGTATAGTAACAGCTTTATGTTTTTTGACATGTTCCGTACACTGCAGACCAGTCACAACAGGCTGATCAATCTAACCAATCAGAGCAGAGCAGGCTCTTAGAAGGGAGGAGTTTGGATATACCATATCCTAAAACTGTGACCTCCTGTGACCTGATGCTGCAAGGTGTAAGACTACTGTGAGAAAATTACAAAAAATTCATCTTGGATAAATATAAATCTATTGTATATAAATATAAATGCATATATAACAGAAGGGGCACTTTTATTTTGTTAAACTGATCAGAAATATAATCTTTAATAGCCTAACAAGCTATACTATACATATTTGTATCAAACCGATGGCAATATACTGCACAGCTCAATCTCATTGCTTTGCACGTGCTTAACAGCTCAAATGTACAACTCACCCATCAAAATCCGTCATCTCTCATCATGCAAATACACTCACACAGATGTACTGCAACAGCATGATGTATCTGAAGACCCAGCAGAGTAGGCAAATGTTAGCCATGTTAATCTTTAAGTCTGAATTTGACTAAGCTGTCTTTAATCTTGTTTCGGAGATTACTGTCTGGTGAATCTCCAATCATTTGTCCCCTCATAGATGTGACAATCCTGGAGGGTCCAGTTTTGAACCCGGGGCCTGTCCAATTCCCATAAGACCTTGGGAAGAGGGCAGATGGCCTGGCTTTGCTTTTTTTTAATTTCAATGTCATTTCAGTGGAGCACTAGCAAGATTGTTATTTATCACAACAAAATATGGCAGCTTACTCACAGGGCCTCTGGTAAACAATGTGTGATTTTTTTTCCCTCTACACATGTTGTAACAGAGGGAATCCCTCTGGAAAGAATGCCAGTCACGTGTATGTGCATGAGGCCAGAACATGTATGTATGCATGGCTTAAAATGAACCGTGTAAATGGCAAATGCATCGCAAGAACAGCTTATGGCACAGTATTACTCAGCAGTTCACCGGTAATATTTCTGGTATGCGTGGTGATTTTGAGCAATTGGCAGTAAAATAGCAAAGAGTGTGTTGTAGTTGTAATTATATAACTATGTAATCTGATGCCAGCAGTGTGAGCTCATAATAACAGTGTTATCATTGATTCATTATCAGTTTGCAAATGATTCAACGCCATCTGTAAGATTGAGTCACTTATAAGACAACATGCACCATGTTTTAATGAGAATGGTTTATTGTCAATGAAGGAGAAATGTGTGTGTATATATAATATTGTAATGAGTTGGGTTGACGAGTTGAGGATCCAAGTGCAGTTTATTACATTTTTTGACTCTTCTAAAGCATAAAAATACTATAATATTTATGAAACATGCTTGTTTATCTGAAAAACAATGCTGAGGTCAGATATTCTGCTTTGAAAATGTCTGTTAGATGCCGGAACGGTTGCCAGTTTAGCCAATTATGTTTCATCACCTCAGGTTCCCATGTTGGAAAACTGCTTATTTCATTCATTCATTTGTAAAGACTCTCAAAGCATGCGCCCATGACCAAATTGCCACCTCCGGTGGAAAGTAGCAGACTCCAGAATGAGATGCAGATTCAGAGTTCCACATGAGGTTATTAATTAGCAAATAATAAAATGTAGCAAATGTAAACATAATGTGAGCAGGTTACATTTTAATCCTGTCCTCTAACAACACGCTACGTGATGAGATTTGCAGTGATAAGCAGTTTCTCTATTTTCACCAGACGAAACATGACAGAAATCACTCACAAAGTGGTAAGGTTTATGATATAATTAATACATAATAAGCCTCTTTAACATTATTAAATATAAATGCTGAATCACTGATATGTGTTAGTTTTGAGTCTAAAGTTCTAAGGTTCAATTTCAAACAGTTTATTTCATTTTTAAGATCTGAGGTGAACTACCTGCTGCTATGGCAATAACTGTCATGTAAAATGACACATTGCTAGCATTTAACACTGAATAAAGCACATGATGGTGTTTCTGAGATGTTTATTGTCAGTTTTCTGTTGTTCAGCTGCAAGATATAAAAGCCGTTTTTAATATATAAATTCAAGGAGTTGGTTAGAAAAAAATTATGGAAAATATTTCTTATGGAAAATATTCCTTCCATTGCGTGCCATTGCTTTTATTTTGAACACGGTCAGCCTTTAGGCCTGATAGTCAGACTCGGTCCTGTTGGTCCTCAATCTGGCAACCCGCGCTTGCATTTGTTTTGATCCAGGAATGCAACACCTAGTTCAACCACTGGGTTTCAAACTTACATACTGCACCTTTAAAGCCTGATTTATACTTCTGCGTCAAGTGACCGGCGTAACCCACGGCGCATGCAACGCGCGTGGCTGTGCATTTATACTTCTGCGCGCTGTCTCTGTTGGTCTGCATTAACACTTCCGAAACACTAGTGGGCAGTGAGGTGTTAATGTTCCTCTGTGTCGAGTTTATTCTCTGCTGTTTTGCTTTTCCTGAACACTTCCTGGATGTACAAGTGGCTCAAACTCGCTCATTTTGAGGCAGGAACCGGCGGACGTGCAACAACTTTAACTATGAGGTAAACACAAAACAAAACTTTCCATCAGGAGCTCCTTCACGGGACTCCACACTTGTAAACAATCGCTACATTGGGCTCGCGTCCAGCTTGCGTCATTCGCGCAGCTCTTGGTCCCGCCCAGACTCGTTAGCGCTACCAAGCCGACCAATCACAGAGCTTGCGCTACGCGTCGTTGCAACGTGTAGTTACAATTTTTGAGAGGTGCATGTCAGTGACGGCCACGGCGAAGGGCTATGCGTCAGCGCTGTAGCATACGCCGGCGTTTGACGCAGAAGTATAAATCAGCCTTAAGAGTATCATCAGGCTGGCAAAAGGTCAATACAGGGACAATAAAGCATAGTCAGAGTACAGACAAATGGTCAGGACAGGCGGAAAAACAACAGAGAACAATAAACAAAGCAAACGTCAAAAAACAAGGCAGACAAGGCAAGGAAACATTTCACAATGCTCACTTGCAGTTTCATAATCTTAGCAAAGAGTGTGTGTGAGTAAATATGTAGTCCTTGTAATCATTCGTCAAAGGCTTCAGCTGTGTGTTTGCAATCAAGGAAAATCTGGCCCAGGTGTGTGTGTGTGCGTGCATGAAATCATAGGACTTGTAGTTCATTTTAGTGTCAGAATTTTACCACGGTTGATAGTGCATGTTTTCCAGCAATTTGTAAGGCCTCGCTGGTGATTGTGGCAAATATACTGTTACTTACAATATTCTGTAATATAAACACTCACCGGCAACTTTATTAGGTACACCTTACTAGTACCGGGTTGAACCTTCTTTTGCCTTCAGAACTTAATTTTGCCTAAATTTCCCGTTCTACAACATCCCAAAGGTGCTCTATTGGATTTAGATCTGGTAACTGTGGAGGCCATTTCAGTACAGTAAACTCATTGTCATGTTCAAGAAACCAGTCTGAGATGATACGTGCTTTATGACATGGCTCGTTATCCTGCTGGAGGTAGCCATCATGTGGTTATAATGAGATGGACATGGTCAGCAACAATACTCAGGTAAGCTGTGGCATGGACACGATGCTCAATTGGTAATAATGAGCCCAAAGTGTGGCAAGAAAATATCCCCCACACCATTACACCAGCCTGAACCGTTGATACAAGGCAGTATGGGTCATGAATAACTACAATTAAAATTATCATAAATGCGAAAAACATACACATGCAATACACACTAATAAACATTATATTAAATGATATTATTTAATCCAAAATATTAGTATGAAATAGTGATATTTGTTCAATTTTAGGATGAATAAAAATAAACTATTACTAATTTTCATAATGAAATAGTGATAGATGTGTTTTTTCTTTTCTATACAATTGTATGACCAGTAAACAATAAATTGTGTGCATCTCTTCAAGAGACAAGTGTTTACATGTAGCCATCCACTTGTACGCAGCCATCTGCAGGTTTGACAAAATCTAATATTTATAAACTGAGTGTACATATATTCACCTCTATTTAAGGTCATAAAACATCCAAAGCAGACTTCTGCCGTGCTATAAATGTCCCTCTATCAGACTGTAATTTAATTTTATGTTGGAATTGTAGCTCTGTTTGTCACATCAATCTCTTTTTTAACCTAATGGAGTTGATGAAACAATATTTCAAACACAAGTGTTGAGTGAAGTGTTTTTCATTAATGCTGTGTTCTTGTTTATCCATTTACACTCAGCAAAAACAAGTCTATTTAAGCTGACGGTTATGAGGTCATAATGAAGGATGCGTGTTTGGCATCCATAAAAACTCTGACCCGGAATTGCCTCCGTAAAACTGGCACATCACACTAGGAGGAAGGTCGCATTATTCTAATTTGCCTTTGCTAATGGCTGTTTGCTGCCGTGGATCATGTGGAAGTCATACATGCATGATTTGTTGGTTAAGTTTCTAACACGGTTACATACATTAAAATGAGCCACCACAAGCAAAAACACTTTTTATGTATGTCAATTTTAAGATTTAGCTTTTTTTTTTTTTTTGGCTAAATGACTTACTTTTGTCTTACTTTTGTCTAATGCAATGAAAACATCCAAAAATACACTTTTAAAATGATTTGCACCCACAAATTATTATGAGCACATCATTTATTCTCCCTCATGTCAGGAAAGATTGAAAATATGGGAAAATTCCTTTACAGGATGATAGTGAGAATCCCCCAAAAAAACGGGAGGGTTGACAAGTGTGCCTTGGCGTCATTGTCGCGAACTGATGTTACACTTGTTGTAAAATGTTAACATTTTAATAATCGCTTTGTCCCGCGACAGCGTCACATGCAGCGGTAGTGGTAATTTTGAACTGTCACTCACTGTAGCTTTTTTTTTTTTTTCCTGTAATGAGGCATAAATCTTACTCTATACTTCAGCATTTCTTCACACACCAAACTACCCAGCCATCTTGTGAAAGTTTTAATCAGAGTTTATATGTATTTTTCCTGATAATATACATTTTATTCTACAGAACTATTTTTTCTGGCTTTTAGTTTCTGAATTATAAAGCAATGCTAATGTGATTCCCAAAAAACTCACTCAGTTAAAACCTTTATCATTAATGTGTTAAAAAATTAAACAACAATATTGAACCTGACTGTGCTAGTAATAATTACAAATTAGCAGATATTCAATTAAATTATGTCTCATTTGCATATGAAAACCTGCATCACAAAACATGTTAAAAATCCATTTCTGTATTCACATACAGTTCCTTGCCTTAAAAAAGAAAACAAACTGTATGAAATAAAAAAATATACATGACTAAAAAAGACCACACCCAGCAGCTTTCTTTCTTCCTAGCATACTGCTCTATTTAGATAATCAGTATGCAGGTTTTTACAGGTCTGTCTGGACTTGAAGAAAATTACCCTAAATATACCACTTCAGCGGAATTCATGTGAAAATGAGAAACGACAGACGAATGTCAGAACAGCCGATCAGAGACACAATACCCCTCATTACACATGGCAGAGATGCAAGAGCTGAAACGCATTCAAATACTTCATATGCCAGTGATCTAACAGGATAATAGTGGGTGAAAGAAAAGAATAAATGGGTGTTATCCAGTGCTGATTCAGACTGGTAATAAAGTCGATAGCCTCTGAGATTTAATAATCCACTTTCATGAGTGAATTCTATGGTTAAGAAATTTCAGGTTTCCATAAGAAATTTCAGGTTTTGTGAGCTGCATAATTACTCAGCTTAAACAGCTTATTTATTATAGAGCAGCATGGTCAGTTTGGAACAAAATATAAATAACTGTACAGTGCTCAGCATATTACACCCCTCACAAATCTATCTTTTAAATTCATATTTTTAATAGAAAGCTATACAATATTATATGTGTGCATATAAGATTAGTATATAATCTTATATATTAGATTAGTCAGTACTGAAGCCAATTCTGGAGCTTATCTAAAAAAATAACTTACGATAACGGTCCAAAAACTAGTAAACCCAATATTATATGTTATAGTAAAATATTAAATACAAATTTTAAAAAAAAATGTTAATGTAGGTGGTAAATGTTTTTTTATTTTTATTTTTTGCAATATTTGCTTAAATTTAATAGTATTATCTTTTAATTTCTAAATATTTTTGGTGACTAAAATATTATTTCAATAAATATATCTGTTTATTGCCTATATTCACTGAGAAATGGATAAAAATAATAATAAGAGCACTAGATTTTCTAGAAGGATTATTAAAAACAAAATATACATTCACATTTAGTCATTTGGCAGACAATTTTGTTCAAAGTGACTTACAATTGAGGAGGCATTCAGCGATTCAAAAAGAAGAGGCAATACACATTAGAAGTGATAACTATACATAGGAACTGTTAGTGCTCAGAGAATTAAGTCCTAGAGTTAGGAGGGGAGAGTGTTTTTTTTTTTTTGGAGGGAGAGAGAACAGTGTTTCTACAGATGGTTTGTCAAGTCCACTCGCCTGTGTGAAGCAATAAGCATTTTTTTTTTAAGATATAGAGTAAATACAAGAACATGTCCAACAATGCAAAACTGGTTTAAGTGTTAAAGTGTCAGAGAGATGAAAAAGTGTTTTCTAACAGGTGGTTTGTTAAACCCACTCACTTGTTTGAGGCACACTCAGAATGATACTGTTTCAAGAGTGCACACTTAGTTGAAGATTGATAATAAAGCTTGTTTGGCATGCTGTCCCAGGTGAGAGCCCTCAGCTAATTAAATCCTTGAACCCTGATCTTAAATCTTAAATAAATTCCTCCATCTTGTTAATGGCTAATGAGAGATTATAGGGGTAGCTATACTGCTTAAGGTTGAATTATACTTTTGCGTTAAGCGCATGCATATGCTCCTGCACAGCCTTCGCGTGGTCACATAGCCTATGCGGTGGCTAACACAGATTCTGACACGTATTGTCTCAAAAAATGTAACTACATGTTGCAAAGACGTGTAGTGCAAGCTCTGTGAGTGGTCGACTTTGTAGTGCTGACAAGTGTGGGCAGAACTGAGAGCTGCATGAACCCGTTGGTGTGTGTTTACAAGTGTCAAGTTGTGTTTACCTCATGATTATAGTTGTTGCACATCCGCCGGCTCCCGCCTTAGAATTAGTTAGTTTTAGCTACTTGTACATTAAGGTAGCGTTCAGAAAAAACAAAACACCATAGAAACTTGACAGAGGGGAACATAAAAACCTACTGCCAGCTAGAGTTTAGGAGGTGTTATTGCAGAGCAACACAAACAGCACGCAGATGTATAAATGCATGACTATGCGCAAGGCAGGTGCCATGGGTCACGCCGATCACTCAACGCAGAAGTATAAACCAGCCTTTACGAAGTGCTCATCTACAGTGCCAATTTGGAATGGTCAATTTACTTATATTGCGTGTTTTTGGACTGTGGAAAGAAACCGGGGAACCTGGGGGAAAACCACATGAGAACATGCAAACTCCACAGAGAAATGTCGACTGGCTCAGCAAGAACTTTTAAACAGGAACATTCTTGCTGTGAGGTAACAGTGTTAATCACTGTTAATCAACCAATCTAGAAAAAGGAGTAAGGAGTAGGGGTAGGAGGGGGAATTCTTCAAGACTAAGATACTGGGGTAAGAAACTCTGGTTATTGTGACTTAGGTATCATCTGATTGGTGAATCATATGTTAGCTAATGCGGGACCAGCCATGGTTAATCTTAAGCATGTGAACCTCTCAAAATTAATTTATGAATAAACTTCACTTAGGTTAGGCACTTGCTATTTGAAAACACACATGAAAAAATACTGCCAACTATTAAAATAATTTAGCACTGTAAAATCACAAAATATGACATTAAAATACATCACTGAACTAAAATAAAGTAAATTCATTTTATTGAAAATAAGCTAAATTAAAACAAATAAATCCTTGACCCAAACTGTGCTTGCAGAAGTAATGTTTTAAATATACACATTTCAGTTTCATGATCTTCAGCCATACACTGAAATATAAAAGAAAATAAAAACTTAAATATTTTTTGCACTTAAAAATTAAGATTTTCAAATAGAAAAAATATTATTACTATAACATTAATATTACTTTTTTAGTACATTTAAGCTTTATTCACACTTTAATAATTCAAACAAAACATTCTTCTTGCTAGATTAACATATATTGTACCTCACACAAAGCTATTACTTAATTTAGAGTTCCTGCATAATAATCTGCAGGTCATTTCAACAACCTTTTAGTCATTTTGCAATTTCTCATTCACTTTCATTATGTGGAAAAGTGTTGCCAGAATACTAAAACTTTCTCCCTTTGTGATGATGAAAGAGGATGAAAGAATGTTCATTCTTGTCGAACCAATCCTCAAAGCAGATATTAAAGGGATAGTGTTTAATTAAAATAAAATTAACTTTTTAAAACATGGTTACTCACCTTCTTGGCCTTCCAAACCATTATTAGTTTCTTTCTGTGGAATATAAAGGAAGATGTTTTAAAGAACATACCAAAAAAAAAAAAAAAAGAAAAAAAACCATATTAGACCACACTGACTCTCAATGTAAATCTTATTTTACAAAATAAGACATTCACTGTCTGGTCTATAATGATATGACAAGAATGCCTAGAGATCTTAGATGATCATTTTAATTTGTTCTTTTCATGCTGCAGTTTTTCAGAGCTGGAAGATTGAGGCCAAAATTGTTCACACAATCAAAAATTCTTCCAGCTCTGCTGTGTTTCTGAAGCTTGACAATAATGTAAATCAGAGGACAAAGAAATGTGTTCCTGCTCCACTAAACTGCTTCGAATTTATTCTTAAATGAACAGTTCAGCCAAAAAATAAGATATCCTGATATACTCACCCTCAGGCCATCCAAAATGTAAAAGTAAACATGTCTTTCAAAAGAAAAAAGGTTGATTCTTAAAGTGCAATTCAACAGCTACTGCATGTTGACAACAAAACCAAATTAATGCTCATCATTTCTGATATTAAAGGCTTGAGCAAACATTTTTGTTAAAAAAAGAAAAGAAAAAGAAAATCATTGCACTAAGCTGGTTTGTAAATATAAATACGCTCACCGGCCACTTTATAAGGTACACCTTACTAGTACCGGGTTGGACTCAGTTTTGCCTTCAGCTTAATACTTCATGGAATAGATTCAACAAGGTACTGGAAATATTTCTCAAAGATTTTGGTTCATATTGACATATTGATATCATAATGCAGTTGCTGCAGATTTGTTGGCTGCACATCCATGATGTGAATCTCCCGTTCCACCACCTTCCAAATGTGCCCTACTGGAATGAGATCTGGTGACTGTGGAGGCCATTCAAGTGCAGTGAACTCATTGTCATGTTCAGGAAACCAGTCTGAGATGATTTGTGTTTTATGACAGGGCGCATTATCCTGCTGGAAGTCAGAAGATGGGTACACTGTGGTCATAAAGGGATGGACATGGTCAGCAACAATGCTCATGTAGGCTGTGTCATTGACATGATGATTAATTGGTACTAATGGGCCTAAAGTGGACCAAGAAAATATCCCCCACACCATTACACCACCACCACCAGCCTGAACCGTTGATACAAGGCAGAACAAATCCATGATTTCCTGTTGTTGATGCCAAATTCTGACCCTACCATCCAACTTTTGCAGCAGAAATGGAGACTCATTAGACCATGCAACGTTTTTCTAATCTTCTATTGTCAACTTTTGGTGAGCTTGTTGCTGCTTTTGGTGAATTGTAGCCTCAGATTCCTGTTTTTAGCTGACAGGAGTGGCACCCGGTGCAGTCTTCCGCTGCTGTAGCTCATTTGCCTCAAGGTTGTACATGTTGTGCATTTAGAGATGCTCTTCTGCATGCCTCAATTGTAACCAGTGGTTATTTGAGTTACTGTTGCCTTTTTATCAGCTCGAACCAGTCTGGCCATTCTCCTCTGACCTCTGGCATCAACAAGGCATTTGTGCCCACAGAACTGCCGCTCACTGGATATTTTATTTATCAGACCATTCTCTGTAAACCCTAGTAATGGTTGTGCGTGAAAATCCTAGTAGATCAGCAGTTTCTGAAATACTTAGACCAGCCCGTCTAGCACCAATAACCATGCCACATTCAAAGTCACTTAAATCACCTTTCTTCCCTATTCTGATGCTCGGTTTGAACTGCAGTAGATCGTATTGACCGTGTCTAAATGCCTAAATGCATTGAGTTGCTGCCATGTGATTAGAAATTTGTGTAAACGAGCAGTTGTACAGGTGTAGCTAATAAAAGTGACCGGTGAGTGTAAATCAAGCACAAACTATGGCTGCGTCTGAAACCGCCTACTACTCAGTAGGTACTGCATTTGAATTTAAACGTACTACTCGGCCGTTAGAAAAGTACGTTCTCAGTATGAATGAGAAAAGTATGAATGGAATTCGGACGTACTACATCCGCCATTTTTTCATGGTCACATGACCTACTTGTGTCAGTTGCGTCGCTTCATCGCTTCAGTCCCATTCATGAATTCTCTCACAGGGCATTATGGGATAGCGCAGCGTGCATGGGATGCGCACTTCAGAATCTCGCCGGAAGTAGTAAGTCATCCGGGTAATTCTCGCCAACTGATTTTCGAATTCTATGAATTCGGACATACTACTTGGCTCGCATACTGATTTTAGCGTACTATATAGTATGGAAGTAGGAGGTTTCAGACGCAGCCTATATCTCAATCTTCTTGATTGCCATTTTATGTGATATTACTGTAAAAGAAACAACTGTTTCTAGCCCTTGGAAAAAGTACAGATTTCAATTTTAGTATGTATATTAAACTAAATTAAACTTAAAGTGGGATTCTAACAAATGTTTAATAGTTCTTAAGCAAAATAACTATTAAGCTATTTGAAGAAATATGTTATAATTAAAAATTATTATCCCAAAACAGCATAACTTATAGCTGAGAAGTGTAAACTTTATGCTTAAGATACAATGTGTCATCAAAAATACTTTTTGTAAATAACCGCTCTTTAAATGTCTAACCTGAGAGTGATAATAATGTTTATCTATTGAAAAGTTACTTAGATTTTGAAGAGTGACTAAATCAACAGCCAGCTTTCTATTTTAGGTTATTTAAGATAAACTAAATCAGGATAAATAACATTTCATCCCAGTGTTATTCTGGCCTCAGTGAAACGGTGAAATCCCAAACGCTTAATTAGACCAGAGATCACCAGCGTTTAGCAGCACACCACAGATGTGTGTTTAATGATTTTGAAAGTTCTGTAATGACAGGTGTTTAATTTGAAGTCAGTTATCTCCTAAGCTGATGAATTGTTGTTGTCACTTGATAAATAGCAGAGCAGTTTCCTCGGGGCGTAAAATGAAAAGCTATTTACCTTGGCAATCGAGGCGGTCAATCTCAAGATCTGAATGCGAGTAAGAGGAGCGTGGTGGGCCAACAGAAGCTGTCAGTTTTGTTTTAGAGGCGCAGCGCAGCAATTAGAAACTCTTTCAAAATGCATCACATCTGTAGTGACTGGAAATAAAAAATCTAAACAAATGAAGGGTAGGACGTTAGCAACTTTCTTTCTCGTCATTTAATTTGTTCTGATGGACAATAAAAGAAAATACCATGGATATTATACCCTACAATAATCTGTAGCTTCATACTGTACCAAGAAAGTTATATTTAAGCAGAAAATGTGTTGGTTATCATATTAAAAAGGTTATTTCAACCAAAGATAAAAATCCAACTAATAGTATCTGGCTGCAGACTTGCACATACACACTGAAACGTGCACTCTCAGATAGAGTAGTGTCTGTCTGCGGACTGCAAGACAGGAGCATAACATGAAGGGGGCAAAACTTATAGAAGAGGCGTAACTTGCAGTTGTCAAGACCCACATGTTAAAACCTTGTTGTCAGCAAGACGGCGCTGTACCACTAGTTATTAACGTCTACTACCCCATCCCTAAACCCAAGCATCACAATTATTAACATCTACAACTACTCTACGTACAGCCGTGAGTTAAAAGGGGATGCGCCCACCATTACTAGTAACAACAGGGGGCGACGCCGAGTAGGCAAACTGTCATAACCAAATGGATTAGGAAGTCAGTGAGTGGAGTTGCTAAATTAATAAATATATTAAATGAATAGGTTGTGGATACATTTGGAGCGAACGCGTGAAATATTTACTGAAAATGTACAATCTCGCATGGTATGGGATCTCGATAACTGCAAGTAACAACTGTACTACAAGTTACACCCCTCGCAGTCCGCAGACAGACGTTTGCTCCATCCATTGTTCTGGTTACATTTCATTGCACGTTTCAGATGACAAATCCACTCGAGCAGTGATTCTCAGACTTTTTTCATCAAGTACCACCTTGTTTCCAAAAAATGATCTCTCCAAGTACCACCATAATGAGCAGTATTTAAATACAGTAGCGTAGTAAGCCCAGTGAAGCAGCTGCAGCTCTGCACAGTTCTAAAACGTGGCAGATGAATTTCTATTATTACAAATATTTATTATTGTCAGCCACTGTAAACATTATAAATAGTTTGAACGTTAACACTGCACTTTGCTTATATGTAAAAAAGCAAACACAAAACGTCAACATTTAAATTAAAAAGGGCTTTTAAAAGTTAAAAACGGTAGGTTAATAGGTTAAGTTTCCTTAAGCGTGAGATGACATCGGTGTGCTAATTTGTAAAAGCTAATAAGATTAATTTAAAAACTTAATTCCTTCAAGTTGTGCCATGCAAATCGATTGTGTGGAACCCTGAATGTTTTACAGTGTACAAATTATAGACAGTAGCTATGTTTTCATCCACCTAATTTTATGCGCATAAAAATCGGTTGATGGAAACGCCATGATGTGCATAAATTTTGAAAATGCACATAAATAACATATGCGCATAATAGAGTAGGATAAACTTTTAATTCGATAAGAAAAGTAGCTTATAAACGACGATGGAAAAACTCTTACGAACAAATTCCAGTATGCGCATTAAATAAGTTATGTGATGATAAAAATATGTGTGAATGAACAAACCAGCAGGCTGAGCACACTGTAAAACATCTGAGATGTTGTTTTGGTCATTCTAAATCACCTTAACCATTTCAGTATTAGTGTTATTATATAATTAATTACCTCCAGAACTGTCAAGAGCGTCTGTTGTCTATATCTCTACCTATAAACGCTATCTGCATGCTGTCTTCTGAGGCGCAAGTCATTTTTTATATGAGGAAAAGATTCATGCAGCTTCTACCGCAACAAATTCAGTTTTTACTGTTGATATTTGGCGCCAGTTTATCAGGAAGTGACGATTCTGATTCTTTGACTACTTGGATGGAATCTTACTCGCAAATCTTATATGCAATATTCCAGTTTTGCACATAAATTTAATTAGCATCTTTAGATGGAAACATTGCTAATGTAAAGCTGTTTTTTTACATTTATTTGGTGTTGTGCATAAAAATAATGCTTTATTTGTCGACAATATGTTCCTGT